TTATTAGGTAAGGGGGTGGATCCCGACAGTGCGGCTCTGCTCTGTAAGCATACAGCAGGCAATAGCCTGCTATAGGCTGAGTTTTGGGTCACAGAAGAACATTAGTAAATGTCCTCCTGTGACCCTGACCAAAACTACAGCCAAAAAAGGTTGGGCCACAGTTGTTCATTTTTTTTTTTTTAAACTAGTAATGGTGACGCAAACGCATTGTGTTTGCGTGTTTTGTGAACGATACGCCTAGGTGTGATTTGGGGAGTAAGAGGTGTAGAAATCCTATGACCAGGGCGGGATTAAGAGCATCAGGGCCTGGTGCTGAGGATTTTGGTGGGCCTTTTTATGGAAATGGCGACGTTCACCAGGGCCCTCTTCCTCCTGTCTGAGCTGTGATTTGTAGTCTCTCTACAGCTTGGAGTCAATGGTTGAGCGCCAGGGCCCGGTTGCCGCTGTGACCCTCGTAGATTTTGCCACTGACTCTTAGCTGTAGAGGGACTACAAATCTTAGCAATACATTATACAGCAATGCAGAATATCACCAACTATAGAGGACTACAAATCCCAGTAATACATTACACAGAAATGCAGAATACCACAAGCTATAGTAGACTACAAATCCCTGCAATAAATTATACAGCATTGCAGAATAATGGCAATAACTATAGAGGAGTACAAATCTCAGTAATGCATTAGAAAGCAATGCAGAATACCACCAACTAAAGAGGACTACAAATCCCAGCAATACATTAGAAAGCAATGCAGAATGGCACCAGCGAAACATTGTAAAGCACTGCAGAATAATACCATCGGCTATAGAGAACTACAAATCCCAGCAATACTTTATACAGCAATGCAGAATAATATGAAGCTATATACTGTGTTGCTCTGGATTCATGGCCTAATGTATCCAGGGTCTAAGGAAAGATGTGCTTGGTTTAGGGGGGGCTGTGCAAGCTCTCAGGAGGATGCTCAGGTTCTTAGGGGGCGCTCTCTGCTCAGGATTGCCATCGGGCTGGCCGCCACTCAGGTCGGCCTGGCCTATTTGCAGGGGCAGGCCTGTAGCGGGAGCTCCACCCGCCACTATGTTAATCCAGCCCTGTCTATGACCACTGGGCTATGAAGTTTACAGAGCGGTGAAGCAGATGCAGCGTCTCACAGTGAATCCCAGGTCTTGTATGATGCCTGCACAGCAACTGAAAAAGCCACAATACATATAGTTTTGCAAGTATGGATGCATTCACTGCTTTTTAACTTGTAATTTCTGAGTGTGTACATAAAAAAAGAAAAAAAAGCCCTTGTCATATTTTCTTGCTTTCTGTCTTCCTGTTGGGGAGATGTACTCTCTGGCTGTCCCAGTAACTATTGTCATTGCCCCTGATTCTGCAGCTGCTACAGTTCTTGAAATGCCTGTAAAACCTTTGATTTGATTTATTAGATATGGGTGGCAGAAACCTGTATTTTCCTGCTAACTCGTCAGTACTGTTTGTGCAAGGATTACTGGTAGACTCCTCCTTCCCTTTTACTGGAAAGCTTTAAACTTGGGTATATCTGGGACTAGAACCAAGCAACTCCTTGCTCCTATGTATGTACAACACATGCTTGATTTACTTCGGTACTAGCCAAGGAGGCGAACAGGGTCACATCCTAACAATTATATGCAGCTTTCAGTCTAATAGAGACACATCTACGGCAGGTAGGCGTGAGGGAGACTGAAGAGAACAAACTACTCGGTTCTGTTATCATGGTCTGTGTTAGTTTACTGATCAGGCTGTTTGTTCATGCAGACAGACCGTAGATTATATTTGTCATTTGTTGTCGTCAAGTCTAAATCTGCTACAGTTGTGTTTCTGTATTGTCTTGTACCAAAAGCAGTATTTGATTCATCATTTATATTTCAATAAACCTAACACAAGAAGAAACAGGCATTGTGTACCAGTGTGTTTTAATAAGTATTTAATTTCAACTGTCAATTTTGTTGTTCAGGTTATATAGGGAACTAACTAACTTCCTTTGCTTCACCATTAATATAACAATAGTTACGTAGTATTTTGAGGTTAAATAAAGACACAGGTCCATCAAGTTCAACCCATTGTGTGTATGCATGTGATTCTGCATGTGTATGCGTGTGTATGAGTCCATGTGTGATCCTGTTCTTAAAGGGTTTCTAAAGCCTCTGGTGTTTTTGCATATATCTACTGCTAGCAATCTGTAGATATATGCGAAATGTTAAAAAAAAACAAAACCTTCTTTAAAAGCGGTTTAAAGTTACACCTGTCTTTCCCGGGCGCTCCGGCCGAAAATCCGAAACTGCTCAGGCGGGCCCATGCGCAGTTCCGATTTTCGGCCGGGAGACGAAGGTAAGTCTATGGACGCGTGCACCCGCATGCAGGCACCGTGGGATCGAAAGTGCCAGCAAGGACAGGAGTCAGCGCTGGATCAGACACCCACCGCAGCGCTGGAGAGAAGGCTGAAAAGGACAGGAAAGAAGAGGAAGAACGGATTAAGAGACATCATTTAACCCCTTCGTGACTGACGACGTACAGTGTACGTCGCCAGCATCGGGGCTGTGTAAACAGACTCCCGGCGACTTTTGCCACCGGGACTCTGTTTAAACTTGTAGAGCCGACTGTCGGCTTTACAACAGAAACGATTCTGGCGACTTACCTGTCGCCAGATCGCTTCTGTGTCCCGAAGAAGGGGCCGCCCTTCAATAGCTTATTTCCAGTGTAAAGGTGACACTGGGGGTCTTTTGGACCCCCAGCATCACCTTAAAGATTACCTGCCACCACCATCTGCTATCACATGGGGGGGCTTGTAATAGCAGTCAAAGTAAAAAAAAAAAAAGTTTTTCAAATTAAAATAAATATAATAATAAAAAAATGTAAAAGTCCCCCGCAAGCATTCGCGTCGCCACGTAAACACGTGTCGGGTTCGCCTACGTATGAAAATGATGAACGCGCTCCACATGTTGGGTATCGCCGCGCACGCCGGAGTGAGAGCAATAATTCTAGGGCCAGTTTTTTTGGGTATCTCTAAATTGATGACCTGTGGGGGCTTTTAAAGCGTCTTCTGTGGACTTTTTGGGGTACTACAGTTTTTCGCCGTTTCACGGACGCACGCAATTTGTAAACTGGGCATGTTGGGTATCGTTTTACTCATTGTAACCATCTTTTTATATTTCATTTAAAAAATTGGTATTGTTGTGTTTTGGGGCATTTAATTAAATTTATCACTAAATTTTGGGGTTTAATAAGGAGTTGCGCTAATATTGCGCAACATAAAAATTTGCAACTACCACCATTATATTCTATAGGGTCTTGGCATTCAGAAAATTGGACTTTATTGTCAATTTAAGTGTACCTGTACACCTTATGTTATGGTCTCTGAGGAAATGTTTTTTGAACGATTCAACACTCCCAGCTGAAATCGCTGCTTGCGGCAGCGAGTTCCAGACCCTAACCACTCTGAATCATTCTCTTCATATACAGGTGAAACTCGAAAAATTAGAATATCGTGCAAAAGTTCATTTATTTCACTAATGCAACTTAGCCGTCTACCAGGAGATTTTGGAGCACTTCATGCTTCCTTCTGCAGACTAGCTCTATGAGGATGCTGACTTCATTTTCCAGCAGGACTTGGCACCTGCCCACACTGCCAAACATTTTCTGAGATTGTGGATCTGGGTTTTCATGAGCTGTAAGCCATAATCATCACAATTATGACAAATCACGGCTTGAACTATCTCATATATTAGTTTCACCTTTTTAGTTGCATAAGTGAAATAAATGAACTTTTGCACGATATTTCAATCGAGTTTCACCTGTAGTAAAGTTGTAGTAAGATAACAGGAGTCAATCTAGCACGGTGTATAGCAGGCACACTAATGCTGGCCACACACAGGTAGTTTTTCATACAAACGCTCATTCATAATATATTGTGACAACATTTGATAATGCCATCAGCGATCCATGACTTTGGAATCTCTCTCAGTTTTAATGTTTGCTAACTATTTTGTTCCAGAAAAATTTTCCTTCCTGCTTCGTTGATTTTCTTTTTTTCTTCCCGTCACTACAGTGGAAGACAATGACCCCATTTATTATTACACAATCGGGAATTAGTAAATGGCAGAAATGGTTGGTCTAGAAGTGGAGCTACATAGGTGGTATAAAAAGAATTACATCAAATGTATGGGTTTTTCCCTTTTAGAGTGGCCCGGCTTACGGAGGTTACTTTATAGCAAGTGTAGGCAACCTTCAGCACACACTAAAAGACTCCAACATCAATGAAATAACTCCCAGAATGTTGCCTACCCCAGCTCAGTAGTATTTCCCTTTGCTCTTTCCCCAGCAGCTACATAAAAGGTTATGTTAGAGAGGTGAGGGAATTGGCTGAGATGCTGGGTCAGCACAGAGAGTATTAAGACACTCCCAGAAGAGGAGAGTGCTATAATGTGCAAGGAAAGAGAGGGCTTAGTTAGGGGACTCTTCTGCAATACTCCAATTTCCTAGCAAGTTCAAAGACACCTAGAAAAATAATACAAAACTATTAATGGAGAGGAAAAACACTGCAAGTAAGCATTTACAATACTTGATTGATCTGTGCGTTTGCCTGGTGATGGGGATTCTTTTAGAAACCTTTTAAACCAGCTAATACTGAGCCTAAGATGACATGATTCTGTGACTTTTGAGCAGCTGTAATGTTTCCTGGCTAGCATTAGTGGGGCACTGGTCCACTTTACTGGTTGCTTGAGGTTGCTTCTTAATGTTTACTTTTTAAGGGTGTTCATCCAACGGAAAATGTTATTCGATTTATTGTTTTAGATTGTAAGCTCTCATGGGTAGGGCCCTCCTAACTATCCATCTTGTTTTGAATTGTATTGTAACTGTGTAATGTCTTCCTTATATTGTAAAGTGTTGTGCAAACTGTGGGTGCTATATAAATTATTATAATAATACTTTTCATAGAAATTTGCCTTGGATTTTAACAGTCTCCCTCATCCTTTATAGACCTCCGTGCCACAAGATGACACAATGGAACCAGTTGCAGCAGCTGGACACCAGATACCTGGAACAACTTCACCAGCTATACAGCGACAGCTTTCCCATGGAGCTACGCCAGTTCCTTGCACCATGGATAGAGAGCCAGGACTGGTAAGAGTTTTTTCTCTTCTTTTCTACGTACAAAGACCTTCAGCAGAGCTGATTGGATAGAAAGTCTGTTAGCAATAAGATGTTTTTTATGAGGAAATAAAATGAGAATTACACCTAGTTACAAATATACAGATATTTCTGTTAGCAGACTTCTCTCTGCTAACAAAAAAAAGGAATGGCAGAATTTAGCTTAGAAACATGTCTCTGCTCACGGTTAAAGCAACCAGAGTTTTAAAATTAGTACAGTTGTGTTCCTCAAACAAAATGGATGTGTTTGAAAATGTCTTTATAAGATATGAAAATAAGGAGGTTCTCCCAGAAGAGTTAAAGCTATCCATGCTTTAGATCAGGGCTCAAAATGTCGAGTCCTGAGCTACTTAAGAGTTACTTACCCCTACCTGCCCCGGCCCTAACTCTGCCCCCTAAATGCAACCTCCTAAATTATTTTATGAAATTACACTGTTAAATGTTTTATGCAGAATAAAATTACAACAACAACTTTAACAGTATTAACCACTTCAAGACCAGGTGTTTAGACCCCCTTCCTGGCCAGGCCATTTTTCAGTATTCAGCACTGCGGTACTTTGACGTTTATTCCGTCATGCAACGCTGTACTGAAATGAATTTTTACACCATTTTTTGGGGACAGATAGGGCTTTCTTTTGGTGGTATTTAAACACCACTGGGGTTTTTATTTTTTACTATAATTAGGAAAAATTACAGTAAATTTTGAAAAACATTTTTTTTTTCATTGTTAGGAAACATTTATTATTACCCAGTTTTTTGGTAAAATATAAAAGATCGGGTCACGTCAGGTAAATAGACACCAAACATGTCAAGCTTTAAAATTGCGCGCACCCGCGAAATCGCAGAAAATTACCATACCCAAAATTGGCCATAGGCGACACTTTAAAAGCTTTTACCGCTCATCAGTTTAGTGTTATCAGTGATTGATGGCCCTAGAATTATTGCTCTCACTCGGACGTTCGCGGCGATATCTAACATGTGCGGCGTAATGGGCGCAATCGTCTTTTTTGCACGTATGCGTCCCCGACGCATGTTTGCATGCGTGTATGTATGGGTGG